CTTCGGTGGCGCTGCGCTACGTCCGTAGATGGCGGCTGGTTTTGCAGGCGGGATGAGCTCCGGCAGCGTGTGTCCGGGCAGACCCCTCTGCCCCGGGCTGGCTGTGTTCCGCAGCGTCGCAGAGCGGAGCTCAGGGCTCGGCACGGCGCCTTCTCTGCTCCCGCTCTGTTTAACGAGAGCTCCCGGTCCGTCCGTCTGCGGCACGAGAGGTCCCCTGAGCACGCCTGGCGGCGCTCCCCGGCGTCAGCGTTCCCTTCGCTGGGAGGGGCTGGCCTTTAAATAGGACGTTTGGGGGTTTTTTAAGACCCTGTCGAGGTTTTGCCGTGTGACCTCAGACCAATTTCTTCTTTCCTTTTCTTTCCCCCCTGATTCCTCAATGTGCAGCCGAGGCCGTGGCCACGACCTGCTCCAGAGGGTGCCTTGCCTCATTAAACGCAGGGCGCTTTTAAGTTCCTTTGAAGGGTCGGGGGGGGGGGGACAGCGGGCCGTTTCTATCTGTTTGTTTTTAATAGGAGGGAGGCTTCAGGAGCTATGGCGCTGGGAGCCGAGGCTTTCCTTTGGGCGGCTGCGTTGTGCTGATGCGGCACGGAGCCCCGCGCCCCGGGCAGGATTTGCGGGAAGCTGGATTGCGTGGGCTCGTGCAGAGTTTGCAAGTCTGTCTTGTTCGCTTGAAAAACACCTAAAGAACGCGGAGCAGCAGGGAGGGCCAGGGACGGCGAACGCGCAGGGGCTGTCGTAGCCGGGCCTGCGCCCTGCGGCTCCGTCTTCCTCCTGGCACAACGAGGAGCTGCCCTTCGCCGGGTTTTTGTTCGGTCGGGTTTTAGGGACTGTAAAAGGCCCCGCAGCCCCAGCTAATGCCACCAAGGCTGGTGAGGGGTGGCACTGCGCCTGGCTGCAGCTGCCCTCCAGGGGAGGGGGGCTGGCTGGCTGGGAACTCCACGACGAGCGGGGAAGTTCGTTAAGGCTGCTAATTGCTCGGAACAGAAAGCAAAGGCAGTTGCATAAATGCTGAAGTGCACTGGCTGCCTCTCCAGCGGCGGA